TCCGCAAGGCGCGGAGGGTGAACGTGCGGAAGCGGAACGACTCGGAGGAGGAGGACGAGGAGCGCGACGAGGAGCCGCCTCAGGAGCCGGCGGCGGCGGCGGCCGGGCCGGGGGGGGAAGGGCCCAGCGAGGCCTCCATGTCGCTGGCGGCGGGCGCCGGGCTCCTGCCGCTGCCCGCGGGCTGCGTGCCCCTCGCCCTGCCCGGCAGCCCCGCGGCCTTCGCCTGCGCTGCGAGCTACGGCGCGGCGCTCGGGCTGGGGCTGGGCTTGATGGGAGGCGACCGGGCAGGCCTGGGGGCTCTGCCGGCGCCCGCCCTCCTGCCCCCCCCGCCGCCGCCGCAGCCCCAGCAGGGCAACGGGCTGCCGGCGGCCGGCCGGCCCAAGGAGAAGAAGCGGCCGCGAGAGAACAAAGAGGTGCCGCGGGCCAGCCTGCTCAGCTTCCAGGACGAGGAAGAGGGTGAGACGAGAGGCTGCCCGGCCTTTGGCTCGCCGCTCGCGGGTGTGGAAGGGGCCCGGAGCTGCTCGGCCTGGCCCTGCCGGCCGCGCACCCTCGGCCCTCGCAGAAAGCCGGGACCCTTATTTATTTTTGAAGGCGGTTGGGTTTCCGCGTGTGATGTGGGGTCGCCTGAGAGGGGGAGGGCCCTGGCGGCGCGGGGCGGGCGGGCAGGGAGCGCCCCGTCGGTCCCGCTGCTCTTGCCCGGCCCGGCCCGGCTCCTGCGGGGCCAGCGCGCTCCCAGCCCCGCGGAGCAGCGGCTTTAATTCTGGCTGTAGGGGTTTCAGTTGCCTCCCCTTCTGTGTTGCCGGGGCCTGAGCGTTCCCCCCGCGTTGCGTTCGCTGCACGTGGTGTCCCGCAGGCGGGGGTTTGTGCGGTGGGAGTTGCTGGGCCCGCTTTGCCGACCTGCCGCTTTCCCCCGGCACCGGCGGGGTCGGCTGAGGAGCATCTGCCCCGGGGCTTTGTGTCGGGTTTGCCTTAATCTGCTGTGGCCGCTGTTCACGGGTCACGTCGGACTGCCTTTTTGCCCTGGCCCCTCGTAGGTGTCTTAAAAGGAATTCTCTTGCAGCTACCAGAACTTGGTTTCTAAGATTTGCGATTAGAAATCTTGACAGAAATACTGAAAACATGAAATAATGCTATAGACTTTGAAAAACGCTGGCAGTTGTTTGTGAATGGCGTTTCTAAAGTTCTAGGTACAAAATTAAGATATTTAATAGGTAAGTATACTTGATGGTGGGTCTAATGTAATGTTTTCCAATTTCTCTTTTAAAGAAACTGAAGAAGTTTTTAAAGTGAAGAAATCAAGTTACAGCAAAAAGATTGTAAAACAATTGAAGAAAGAATACAAAGAAGATCTTGAAAAATCAAAAGTTAGAACAGAGGTCAATTCTCCAACAGATGGTAACTGCAAAACTAATAGTAACTTTTGTAGTGGGAAAGATGGATTATTGTAATTTCTTTTTTTGTTTCCAAGAGGAATCGTTAGTCTTCTAGAGGATTTCATGTTTAGAGCTGAAGAAAAGCACACATTAAATTTGTTACTTGAGCCTTACAGGTGCTGTTCTGAAGGTGGTAGAGAGTTCTTTGAATCTCTCCTATGTGGAAATTAATATAGAAGGATGAAACTTCTCAGCTCTGTGTACGGTTGTCAGTAGACATCAGTTTTCTGAATTTCAGCTGTGTTTATGGCAAATGAGTTTCTTACTGAGTTAGGAAGGAGTTATATTAGTTTAAAAATATACCTGGTGCTTGTCTGACAGGATGTGTCCTTGTAATGCATCTTTTTCAAAGAGGAAGACTTTTGGGGTGAGCAGAGTGGTGTTCTTTGTCATTAAGTAAGCTGCCTGTGTCAGGACTTGGACATTAGAGTAGACTTGATGATTGAGGTGACAGACTGAAAGTGTTGGAGCAGAAGGATCTTTTAACAATGTACAGTCCTCCACAGCTTGGAGTAGAACCTGGGACTTCAATTCCAGTTGTACTGTTGTTTTTTGGGAAGCTCACTGGTAAAGTGTAGTGATTCCTTTTCCAGTTATGTTTTTGCATAGAATATATAATGCTATGAGCATGAGCTGAGAGGCTCATGGTGTAAAGATTGCAATGCTACAGCCGAAGCATATGGGAGCTGAACACGGTCCCATGCAGGAAATACCCTTCTTATATTTAATTAAATTATTTCTTAAAAATTCTTAAATGTTTTTTTAAAGGTTTTGGCTGTGTTTAGAAAACCCACAAATTCTTTCTTACTAGAATCTTTAGGTTGCCTGTGCATTGGTGTGGGGCACAAACAAAACCAGAAATGGTCATTTGTGTGCATAGTGTTCAGGGTCATCTGTGAAAACCTGGGTCTTAATTCTTACTTCTGTCACAAAGATCGTTTAAAAAATTGCATTTTGAGCATGGCTGTGTGTGCCTGTTTTCTGTTTGTTTTGCTGTCCCTAATTGATGTGGTTATGGTGTAAAGACCTTGTGGCTGCTACTTGAGTCAGTAGCCTGGATTCTCTACTCAAATGCTTGAGTCTAAAACCTCACATATGTGCAGCTTGGATGGGATAGCTGAGTTTAACTTGCACTGTTTTACACAGTATTTGTACTTTCTGCCTGTATCTATCTCTGTGTTACCCACCTGATGAAAGGGGTTGTTACACCCAGCCCAAGATGAAAATGAAGGCTTCCTTTGGGATGAGTTTGTTCTTGTGGAAAGATTGAGTGTAATACAGGCAGTGCTTTCTCATCACATATGTAAGAGACAAGGTTGCCTATATGATCTCGAGTTCCCTTAAACTTTCTTAATACTTGACAATATGGAGAATGTCTAGTGGCTGTTGGTGTGCCTGCCTTGTCAGATTTCATTTTGAGAGGATGTCGGTGACTTAACCACAGTTCAGAAAGCATATTTTACTAGATCGCAAGCAATAAAATTATCGTTCAAAATTTTAATCTGATTTTTCCTTTTGGTTTTTGTATCTTAAAAAAAATACTTCCGAGTGATCTTTATAAAAGGAGTAAAACATGGGCTTTGTTGTCTTATCAGTCGAAGCACCACTAGAAAAGACAGGACAGAATAAGGATCTAGGCCAAGAAGATGGGACTGCAAACAGTGAGCATGGTGAAGAAGAAATGGAAGTTGAAAGTGAGAAGGAAGATGAAAAACCGAAAGCTGGTGGGGCGTTTTCGAATGCTCTGTCCTCACTGAATGTTCTCCGCCCAGGTTGGTCTTTGTAATTTGTCTGATTAGTTAGCAAATGCTTTAGCCAATGTTTACAGCAGACTAATGTGCATGAGAGGTTAGGAAACAGTTTCCAGCAATATATCTGGCATCTGAGAATTCAAGAAGGTGCTGTTTTCTAAAGGGGTTCAGTTTCACGAGCCTTACAAGAGAAAACGTTTTGCTACAGAGTACTTCATCTTGATGTCAAAAGCAGGAATTTGTCTCCCAAATAGATGACAAGCTGTAGGAAAATCTAGATTTGGAATAGATGACCTCACATGATATTTAACTGCTGTCGGTTAAAATCTGTTCTTTAGTTCAGGTGTTTCAGTTACGGGTCTGCAAGGGATCGGAAATATTTCCCTAACCTGTTTTGTATAATGAGGTTCTAGTCAGACCCTGAGGCCAAAGAAATCAGTCTGAGAAAGTATTTTTGAAACTGGTTTGCTAATTGTGGTAGTCTGCTCACCAGATATAAGGTGGATGTCCTGGGAACTGTTCTTTATGTGACTTACATAAGTTGCATTACTTTTGTGCTGTAGATTTTAGAGTTTTTCATTAGGTCCCCTTTTCTTGTTTCTCTTCAGTTGTACAATCTTCTCATGTTAACTTTGTCTGGTTTGGTGTGTCTTCTTAGTCTCTGAGCTGTCATCATCTGTTGAAATGGTTGATGCTTTTTGTTCCCCCAAAATAAGAGCTGGGAGCAATATCAGGACAGGAAGTGACACAGTCACGCACCTCAATTTCTTCCTCCCTTTGCAATAGTCAGCTCCTGTAAAGGGCTTCCTCTTCTCTAGGAGTGTTTCC